TTTTATGCTGCAATGTGTTCTTTTATTAGGAAGACTCACCATCTTTGCTTCTAAGGAGCATTCTTGTTCTAGTTGTTTCAAGACAGATTTGTTTGTTCTTTGGGCAGCCTGTGGTATAAAACCAAATGCTTTTTCCATAAGATAAACAAGAAGGTATGGGTGCCTGGTCTTGCCACTTGTAGTGAGCATTATTTTGGAAATTGTAGTCAATACAATCAGGGTGAGGTGTAAAATTTCAGATAGAAAAGGCAGAAGTAAAAACTATTCTTTTTTCAAATGATCAAATGATTCTCATGATCCTGTATGTAGGAAATCCAAAGGAATCCACAAGAGAACCAAGTAGATCTAATAAGTTCAGCAAGATCACAAGATACAAGATAAATACACAAATCTCAGTTGTACTTCTATATACTATAAATTAACAAGCCAAAATTGAAAATAAGAAAATAGTTACATTTATTTAAGCATCAGAAAAAATAAAATACTTAAAATAAATTAAACAAGTATGTGTCAGTCTGGGTTGACTAGAGAAATAAATTCATAGATACTCATATGTATATAAGAAAGAGCTTTATATCAAAGAGTAATTGTATAATAAGAAAACATCCCACCCCAATGCAGATCCAGTCTGTACGTCCGATATTAGTCTATATGTTTTATGCTAATCTATAAAGTCCTCTTCATACTCACACAACACATACAATTATGCCAAATGCATGAAGATCACAGGCCAGTGGGTGGAAAGACTTGTGGATCCAGTGGCGGTGGAAGCATCTCAGCACTGGTGTGGGTCTCCACATGGCTCCTCCAGCTCCAGGGCTCTGACTCCATCAGCGTAGCTCCACGTGGCTTGTCAACAGGAGTGTCTCTCAGGGAGTGTGTGTCCTGCTTCCAGGAAGGAAGACAGGAGTTCCCAGAATCCTCAGGAGAAGCCCATACCTATACAGAGACCTTATTGGTTATGACCTGGTTGACAGGCTAGACTCTACGCCTTCACTCAAGTTGACAGTAGATTATGTAATTGCCACAAGATTTCTACACTAAAACTTTGCAATTCAATGCTGAGGGAAATTCAAGAACATCTAAATAAATTGAGAGGCAGCATATGTTAATGGATTTGCTGACTCGTGATGTTAAAGTAGTATTTTTCCTGAAACTGATCAATAGATCCAACATAAAATTCCAGCAAGCTTTTTTTTTTTTTCTTTTCAGAAATTGGTAACATGACCTTAAAATGTTATAGATATGTAAAGGACCCCGAATAGCCAGCCAATTTTGATAGAAAGTACAAATTGGGAAAACTTTCATTTCCCTTGAAAATGACAATAATTGCAAAAGTATGGTACTGACATATACTTGGAAAAATAGATCAGTGGAGCAAAATTAAGGGTCTAGAAAGAATTTCTTAAATTTATTGTCAATTTACTTTCTACAAAAATGTCAAGCAATTCAATGAGGGAAGGAATATTCTTTTTAGCAAATGGTGCTGAATGAGACAATTGGATACCGACATATAAAAACATAAACTTTACATCAAACATAAAAGCTAGCTCAAAATATTTTTTTATATCTGAATGTAGTAGCCAAAACTATACAAGTATTACATAAAAACATAGAAAAATTCTTCATGATTTTGGGTTAGGCAAAAGTTTCTTCGTTAATACGCACAGGGAGACAATATTTTGAAATGTATGTTCAAGTCTTTGTATCAAGAATATATAAAAAAACCTTTTGACTCAGCAATAAAGGTCAATGACCTAATTTAAAGTGGGAAAGTTATTTGAATAGGCTTACTCAAAAAAGATACACACGTGACTTATTCGCAGGAAAAAAATGCTCAATATCATTAGTCATTGTTGTCGTTAGGTGCCATCAACTCCCTTCTGAGTCTGAGATCACATGTACATCAGAAAGAGACCCTGCCCGGTCCTGGCCATCCTCCCAGTGGTTCTAATGTCGAAGCCCATTGTTGCAGCCACGGTGTCACTCCATCTTGTCATGGGCCTTCCTCTCGTTCACTGCCCCTCTACTTGACCAGACACAATGCCCTTCTCCAGGGGCCCCTCTCTCCTGACAACATGTTCAAAGTACGGAGACTAAGTCTTGCCAAACCTGCTACGAAGGCGCATTCTAACTGTCCTTGTTCCAGGACAGGTTTCTGTGCTCTCTTGGCAGTCAATGGCACTTTCAATAGGCTTTGTCAGCATCAAAATTCAAATCCACTGATTCTTTTTCGGTCTTCCTTATTCCATGTGCCACTTTCACACGCATGAGGCAATTGAAAATACCGTGGCTTGGGTCAGGTGCAGGTTAGTGCACAAGGTAACCTCCTTGCTTTTCAACAGTGTGCCGAGGTCTTGTGCAGCAGATTGGCCCGACGAAATGAGTCATTCGATCACTTTACCGTTGTTTCCGTGGACATTGGTTGTGGATCCAAGCAAGATAAAATCCGTGACATTTGCGATCTTTTCTTCATTTATTGTGATGCTACCTACTTGTCCTGTGGTGAGGAGTTCGGTGTTCTTTACATTGAGTTTATAATCTGGACAGAAGCCTACAATTCCTTGATCATCATCAAATGCTTCGAGTGCTCCTCACTTTCAGGAAGAAGGGTGGTGTCACCTGCACATCACAGGTTGTTAGTAAGCCTTCCTCCAATCCTGATACTGGATTCTTCTTCATTTAATCCAGACTTTCTGCTTATTTGCTCAGAATACAGATTGAATAAGTATGGTAAGTGGATATAACTGGATGCACACCTTTCTTGATTTTAAACCATACAGTACTCCCTTCTGTTCACATAACTGCCTCTTGTTCTATGTACACATTCTGTATGCACACAAAGAAGTGTTCTGGAATGCCCACTATTCGCAAAGCTATCTATTGTTTGCTATGGTCCACACAGGGGAATGCTTTTGTCTAGCCAATAAAGCACAGGTAAACATCTTTCTGATATTTTCTGCTTCCAGGCAAGATCCATCTGACATCACAATGATGTCCCTTGTTCCACATCCTCTTTTGAATCTGGTCCGAACCTCTGACAGCTTCCTATCAATGTACTGCTGCCACTGCCATTGGATGAAATTCAGCAAGACCGTACTTGAATGTGATATCAATGATATTATTCTATAATTTGCAATTTATATTGGGGTACACTTCTCTGTATGATTACAAATACAGGTCACCTCCAGTGAATTGGCCAAGTGGCTGTCTTCCAAATTTCTTGGCACAAACAAGTGATTCCAATGCTTTATCAGCTTGTTGAAACATTTCAATTGGTCTCTGATCAGCCTGGAATCACACAGTGAACTCTGTGTATTCTTCCCATCTTCTTTTGATGTTTCCTGCACTGTTCAATATTTTGCCTATAAAATCTTTCAATATTGTAAATCTAAGCTTGAAATTTTTCTTCAGTTCTTTCAGTTTAAGACATAAGGAGCGTGCACTCCTTTTTGGTTTTCTAACTATAGGTTTTTGCACATTTCATCATAATATTTTACTTTGTTTTCATTAATCACTAGGAACATGTAAATTAAAATCTCATCACACCTAGAGGATGTGGAAATTTTTTAAGAAGACAGATGATGAGAAACGTTAGTGAGGATGTAGGGAACCTCCATACACAGCTGGTGGAATTTTAAGATAGTACAACCACTTTGGAAGGTAAATAGGAATGTTCTTAAATAGGTAGGCATAACTTTACAACAACTCACTGCCTTGGAGTCGGTTCTGACTCACGGTGACTCTAGCACAGCAGGACTGCCCCTGCGGGTTTCCGAGGCTATAAATCTTCACAGGAGCGAAAGGGACCAGTGGTATTGAACTGCTGGACCCCACAGAATATCCTAATTCCATCCCTAAATATTTCTCTACCAAGAGAAATTAAAACTTATGTCCACACAAAGACTTGACTGCAAATATTTATAGCAGTAATATTCATAATTGCCAAAATGGAGAGTAAATCAGATGGTGAATAAACAAAGTATATTATGCAATGAAATACTATTCAGCAATAAAAAGAAAAATAATTGACTAATATATGCTATAACATGTATGAACTGTAAAATCATTATACTTAGTGAAATAAGCCGAGCAAAAGAGGCTCCATATTTTATAATTCCATGTATATGAAATGTTTAGAAAAGGCATATCTATAGAAAAGGAAAGTATATTGTTAGTTGTCTAGTGCTGGGCTTGGGAACAGAGTAGAACTGCCCCTGTGGGTTTCCAAGGCTGTAACTTTTTGCTGGAATAGAATGCCTCATCTTTCTCCCATGGTGGTTTCACAGTCAGCATACTCCCAGGGAAGTATAGAGGCAGCAGAAATTGCCCAATGACACACCACAAGGCAGCAAGAGCGAGAGCCGGTGATGCAGCCTTGGGAGTGGCTATTGTCAAGGCAAGGAGTGCTGGTGGTGCAATGTTGAACCTCAGCAGATCACGTAACAGCGGTGGTTTGAACCTACCCAACCCCTTGAGGGAGACGAGATCTGACCATAAAGTGTACAGCCTGGAAAACCTGATAGGGCCGTTCTCTGCCACCTGGGCTGCTATAAGCCACAAATGGACTCTACCGCACTGACTAAGAACAAAACATATCTGAGGAGCAGTGAAAGGAGAAATCAGCAGCGGAAAGTAATAAATATTGATTCATAACCATCACACAAGCCATACTTTTCTTCACAAAAATGGCTACCAAGGAGGAGTTGTTCATATGCATAATGTGAAAAAGATGGTTTCTTGGGTGGAGGGAGGGAAGAAAGAGACATCATCTCTTGCTCGTCCACTGGTTTCAGATGATTGGACCAAGTGAAGGAAGTGTACACAACAGTTCAAGTTTATCTCTGAGGAAACAGGTGCATTAGCGTATGCATCCACTATGCCCTTTACCCATGGCGATAGACTGTAGTCTGGGAGATGCTTTTCCTATTTCTTAATCAGAACAGAATCCAAGGTCATCACCCCTTTCCCTCCATCAGTGATGCCTTCTCATTTGCCAGAAACTTGATGGACGTTCTCCTAAGTGCATCCCACTTGGACTACTTCAAGGAGTTCCTCAAAGAACGGAAGTGTGAAATCCCATTGCAATTCCTGTTAGCCGTACATAAGATCACTTCTGAGACCAATGCAAACCTGCAAAAGAGCCTCCGTGAAAATATAATCAAGACTTTCTTCCATGGCAGAGTACCTCCAGGTACGCATCCCTGTCGCCATTCCCCCCTTCCCTCAGGGCCCTGGGAGGGTAGTCTGAGAAAGAGCCAGTCTTGCGTGAACACCATGAGAGTGCACAGTGCAGAGACCACAGGGGCAAAATTGCTAAAAAGACCTGGAAAGGAACAATAAAAGCAGAGCACTTCAACAAGAAAAGCTTCAAGATAGTGCCAGTAGTAAAAGAAGCCAAGGAGAAGATAGTGTACATGTCTTATCATTTACATTTTCAAATATAGCGTTGTGGTACAATGTATGTGGCCAAAAATTTCAAGTGCTTTTATGTATACTATTATCCTCATGACATCTTACTTAATCCTGGAAGTAACCATGTAAGGTAGAGCAGATCGTGTCATTTTAGCAGCAAGTAAGGTGAAATAGCGTGTCCAATTGGTGCGACTTGAATTCAAACTCAAGTCTTTTAACATTCAAATCAAATAGGCTGGCGTTAGATACAAAGCCAAAGTTAGAGCATTTACCACCTGCAGATTGTGGGCAAATTTGCACTGGAAAGGATAACTTTCTGCTAGAAAATATTTGTTTAATCAATTTTGTCTTGTTTTCTCATGGTCTAGGGTGGTAGAGTAAACTTGGCCCATTTTAATTTACCTTGCAAATCATTATAGAGGGGGAAAGGATTTGGTTACATCTTCCAGAACCAAAAATCAAACCCACTGTGATCGAGTGGATTCCCAGGTTGCTACTCTTGATGGGAGAAGATGACCTCCTCTTCATTCCATGGAGCAGCTCGTGGGTTTGCAACTGATTTGGGCATCAGAGCCCACTGCTTACCCAACAGCATCGCCAAGGTTCCTCCTGGTAACTCCACTCTGGAAGTAAAGAAATATACAGCAGCAATGACAAGAGAACCTTCTGCTTGGGTTCAGATGAAAAGATGGGAAGGAACAATAGTTTTATGTGTGTTTGTTTATTTATTTGTTTATTGCCATGGTAAACCAACATAAGGTTATAAATTTTATAAAAACGAAAATGGTAAAATTGGCAAATTTTGATTTGTAAGAAATATATATTCATTGAGTCTTAGGGTGCTGAGTCTTACATATCATTTCAAATGAGGAAGAAGAGGGGAAAAGTACTATATCCTGCCCTTGCTAAGTTTTCACATCTTATTATTTCTTTCAACTATCTCTGAATAGTTGGAGAATCATATTGTTCTTGCGGCACTAATTCCTAATCATGGATTCTCTACTTGCCCCAGGAACTAAATTTTAGTCATTCACTCTTATGCTTGCTGTTTATTTCCAACTTTTCCAAGAAAAATTCAAACCAGCTGCGGAAATAAGTCCTTTAAAACTGTCTTTGCACTTAGGCAAAGGGGGACACAGGGATCTAAACCAAACGCGAGGGGTGCCTAGGAGTTTGTGGGGAAATTCCTTTATCTTTTTACCTATTTTCCATGAACTTGTGAAGCCTCCTTGGACACTTCCACATAACTTTCCAAAGTGATTTCAAGATTTTTGGTAAAACTGTCATCAAAGTGGGTGGGGTGGGGGGGGGGAAGGGTTCAGAAGTGAGTCAGATTCTGAGACAGTGAGATTTTAAGATGGAAGCAGAAACATGTGCTACCCCAGAAATGGCAGCCAAGAGGATGGTGTCATTGTTTCCCCTTTGTTTTCAGAAGAGCTGCTGCAGTGCTCCAGCCCTATTATCAGCGAAATCCCTTCCATGCGACAAGTGACCACGAGCTCGTTGTTAGCTGCCCACGGCCACGTGATGAAGTCTCTAGAAGAAAAGTGGTGAGCAGCTGCCCACTGGTTTCTTCTTCTTCTTTTTAAATGTTTTATTTTAAATTAGGCGAAGGCTTATAGAGAAGATCATCGGTTTTAAACCCAATCGTATACATTTTGCTTCTAATCATCCAGTGCAATCTCCTCGATGTACCATCGCCTACTTCACTTGTTCTCTGTGCCTCCTGTGTGTCCATCCCTCCTCCTTCCCAGCCCTCTGAATTTCATCCTGGGGCAAATGCTTCCCTTCTAATTTTAAATGGCTGATTATTCTAACATGGGGGTGGGTTCAGTTTCAAACACGAAGGGCAACTAAAGGCCATTGTCTTGGAGGGCTTACCAGTCTCTATCTGATTAGCAAGTTTGGTCTCTTTTATGATTTGGGGTGTTGTCCCCCCTTTTTTCTCCCACTCTATCTGAGACCTTTTAATGTGACCTTTTTCAGAGCAGCTGATAGTGGTAGCAAAGGAGGGAAAAGGTAAGAAAACTTTTGTAAAATGTATTTCACCATTCTCCTCTTTCATCTTTCTGAGTGCATTGAGCTGCTCTGACTCATAGGGACCCTATAGGACAGAAGAGAACTTCTCCATAGGGTCTCTAAGGCTGGACTCTTCAGGGAGCCCTGATAATGCAGTGGTTAAGCGCTAAGCTGCCTGAAAGGTTCAAACCCACCCCCTGCTCCACAGGAGAAAGATGTGTCAGTCTGATTCGGTAAACAAAGCCTTGGAATTCTATGGGGCAGTTCTCCGTAGACCTGTTGGATTTGCTATGAGTTTGAATCAAATCAGTGCCCACGTTTTTTGTTTTGTTTTGATATTTATGGAAGCAAATTGTTAACCTTTTCTCCTGGTGGGTTTGAATGGCCAGCCTCATAGCTAGCACCAGAGTGCTTCACCACCAAGTCCCGAGGGGTCCTCTTTCCCAAGTCTACTTTCCCACAAGCCGACATTCTTTGTTTGAACTGGTCTCCTTCCTGTATCAGACTTTGTTCTCTTTGATCTTGATCTCCTGCGGCAGGTTTAAAGAATACCAAGACATGTTTCCATTGCGTCTTGGGGATGCCGAAGTCGAAGTCCAAGCTTCCCCTAGGAAGCCCTCAAGGACAGCAACAACTTACATACAGAAATCCCAGGTCAGTGAAGACAAAAGGGGGTGGGGTGGGCAAGATATTGGGTACAGAGAAAACCACTGCATTAGCCACTGTCCAATCCTTACCACCCCTCTGTCAAGTGTGATTGCGACAGTTTGCAGTACGCTGGTGGATTGCATGTTGCCATGATGGCAGCTATGCCACTAGTATTTCAAATGCCAGCAGGGTCATATATAGGGGACAGGCTTCCATGCAGTTTTCCCACTAAGACCGATGGGGAAGAAAAGTATGAAAATCAGCCAAGCCAAGCCCGATAGACCGCAATAGAATACGAGTAGGTGATGCACTGCTGGAAGAGGAGCCCCCGTGGTTGGAAGGTGTTCAAAATACCCAGTGGCCACAGGAATGGTCTCAAGCATGCCAATGATTGTGGATGGTACAGGATCAAGAAACGATGCCTTCTGCGGTTCATGGCATCACCATGCTCTGCAGCCAACTAAAGAGCAGCTACAGCAGCATGCATTATCTATTGTACACCGCTAGCCTATGGGGTTGCTAAACTCATCTGTGGGGGGGTACATTTGAAATCCCTGTTTCACAAAGGAGTGATCCAAGGTTCCGAGAAATGAAATCGCTCCACTAGGGACTTCGGGGCGTCAACCTCTTCTCTGCCCCTGACGAGAACCAGCGGTCAAGGACAAGGAGATCAAAATGCCAGCTCCATGACTGGTAAAGCCTCTGGGGACTATGGATTGGCTTGCTGGATTTGCTCACTTCCTCTAGACCCAAATTAGATTTACTGACACAGCCACTCAGTATCAGGACTGGGGATGTAGGGCAGCGTGAGCTCAAGTCCTCCGCAGATCAGGAGATTCCAGAGAGAGGACGCAGGGCTGAGAACAGAGCATGTGCATTTGGCTTTTTCTCCCAAACACATCGGTTGTCTAGCTCATCCCGTCTTTCATGAGAAGAGGAAACAAAGAGGAGATGGGAATATTATGCAGGCGAGAGCTTCACATGGCACGAGCAAACAAAATATCTATATGCTGAGGAAAAGGTATGGAGGCCAGGTCAAGAAGGATAGGCTGACATTTGCAAAGGATAGGAAGAAACACGTTCTAAAGCACCTCACCTTGCCCTTCGTCACATTTCTAACTGATTGCTGTCGGGTTACTCTGACCCACAGGGACTCTGTAGGGCAAATGAACTGCTCTATACGTTTCCTAAGGCTGTCATCTTCGCTGGGAGCCGGGGATGCAGACATTAAGTGCTAACCTAACATCTTCAGACTTCACAAATGGGGAAGAAGAATCTAACTGCACATCTTACCAGGAATGATACCTACAAAGCAGAGGTCAGGCATGCCTCCACCCTCAATCCTTCTATATGCTATTCTGACAGCTCCTCTACTATCCCCCTGCCGGAGCCCATAACTGGAAGCAATGGCCAAATAAAGCTCATGGACAATACTCCCAAACAGGGTTTATTATAGAAGTTACAAGGTAGGATTAAGAATACTCAAGGATGCAATTCTTTTGTCCACAGTGTCTGTTCTCAGTCATGCCAGCAGGCATGCCCCCTCTTGTCCTCAGCCTTTCAGCCACATGATCCCTTGGCTTTCTGCCCTGCTTGGGCAAGTATTACAAAGCTCCTTTCATGCTGATAAATGCCAAAAGAGCACCCCACTTTGCAGCCAGCCTCTTTTCTGAAGGCTCAGCTTTTTCATTTCAGGTACGCTCTTTGCTCCATGATCTTAGATAAGCAAAAGTCAAAGGATACCAACATGGAATCAATGCCCACTTTCTGCTAAGGACATCATTAGGGTTTACACATGAGGATAAACCAAAGGCAATCACTACAGAAACCACAGAGAGATACACGTTTGTTAAGCAAGACTATAAAAAGGCGAAGCTACTGCTCCTTGGCATATATTCCATTTAGGTGTATCCACACTGGAGGGTGGTATTTACCCCCTCAGAAGCCCTGGTGGCTCAGTGCTGACACATCGGACTGCTCCCTGCTGAAACCACCACCACTCTGCAGGAGAAAGACCAGGCTTTGCAGTCCTGTAGAGAGTTACAGTCTGGGGAGCGCACAGGAGCAGCCCTATCCCGTCCTATAGAGTTGCTATGCGTCAGCATCCAGGACAGTGAGTCTGAGTGAACCCTTCACCACAAAGAATTCTGCACTCTGGATTAATACCATATAACGGCAGTTCTCACATTCGTGAGGGACTTAACCCAGGTTCCCTTTCAATGTTCTTTGGGCAAGATCAGAGCTGTGGGGTGAAGTTTCTCCATGAAATTATTCTGGGACAGCCCTCGCTGCCGTTGAAGAAAGAGCAGCTGCATTATCCTGATAGGAAAACAGTCCTGCATGCAACTCTTCTGTCAGTTTTCTTGCAAGCCCAATTTTCAATGGTCTTAAAGTGTCTCCATAGGAACTAGTGATCATCCTGTGTTATTACAGACATTCCATCGAGATTATCCCTTTGGGATCTCCAGAAATGACCCCTGTAACTTTCCGAGCGATCCCCCCTAGTCTGAATTAAACTAGCCCAACAGATCCTTTTGGAGGGCTACTGTTTTGATTGGCTTCCATTTTTTCAAGGCCTGGCAGGAGCTTCGCCACCACTGTCAGCTTCTTGCGCTGTTCTGGCTTACATGCTGCAGTGGTGCTGGAAGGGAGGTCTCCAGCATTTGAAACAGCAGGGTCACTCAAGGTGAAATGATTTCAGAAAAGCCTTCAGAGTAAGAACAAAGGACACAGAAGAAATAGCTACCTATTTCAGAGGAATTAGCCACTGAAAAGTTCAGAACAGCAGGGGACTATTGTCACAGAGAGTGCCGGGAGATGAGCCTCTCAGGCAGGAAGGTGCTCAAAATATGGCTGAGGAAGAGCTGCCTTCTCTAAGGAGCATTGACTGAAATTATGTGAATGAAATAGTCTTCAGCACATTCATTTGCTGATGGCGCTCAACTCAGCATGAGAATGAACAGCTGTCAACATCTATTAATAATTGGAACTTGGAATTACAAAGTGTGAATCTAGGGAAATTGGAAGTTATCAAAAATGAAATGCACTGCACACACATTGATCTCCTAACCATTAGTGGGCTGAAACGGACTGGTATTCATCATTTGCAGTCAGTCATATAGTTTACCATGATGGAAATTAAAAACTCAAGAGGAATGTGTCATATTCATCATCATAAAGGACATTTCAAGATCTATTTTCAAGTCCAATGCTGTCTGTGATAGGATAATATATATACAAATACATGGAAATTCAGTTAATATAGCTGTTATCCAAATTTACCCACCAATCACTAACGCCAGTGATGAAGAAATTCAAGAATTCTAACTTCTTCAGTCAGAAACTGATCAAACATGCAATCAAGATGCATTGGACACTACGGGCAATTGGAATTTGCAAGTTGGAAACAAAGAACAAGGGACATAGTTGGAAAATATGGCCTTCAGGATAGAAACCAAGCTAGAGGTCGCATGGTAGAATTTTGCAAGATCATTGATGTCTTCATTGTAAATACCATTTTTCAACAACATGAGTGACATTTATACAATGGACTTCTCCAAATTGAATACACAGAAATCAAATGGACTACATCTGTGGGAAGAGGTGATAGAGAAGCTAAATATCAACAGCCTAAAGACATGTGAAATAGACTATCAATTGCTCATACTTAAGGTCAAGTTGAAGTTAAAGAAAATGGAAATACGTTCACTAGAACCAAAATAAGGCCTTGAGGATGTCACACCTGAATTTTGAGAACATCTTAAGAATAGATTTGATGCCTTGAACACTAATGACAGAAGACCTGATGAGTTATGCAAGAACATCAAGAACATCATTGAGGAAGAAAGCAAAAGGCGATTCAAAAGACCGGAAAGAGAGATCAAAGTGGACATCAGAAGAGACTCTGAAATTTGCTCTTAAGCATAGAATTAAGATAGCTGAACAGAAAACTTCAAAGGGCAGCTTCAGAACACAAAATAAAGTATTATATTGAAATGTGCAAAGCCCTGGAGTTAGAAAACCAAAAATGTAGGCCAAGTATCAAGCAAGCATATGTCAAGCTGAAAGAACTAAAGAACAAATTCAAGCCTTGAGTTGGAATATTTAAAGATTCAATGGGCAAAATGTGAATTATGGTGTGCTGGTGAAGAATATTGGAAATACCATGGTCTGCCAAATGACAATCGGATCCATCTTGAAAGACGTAAAACCAAAGTACTCCTGAGAGGCAAGGTGGTGAAATGTCCTCTTACTTCCTTTGGACCTGTTCTCAGGAGAGACCAACCTCTGGAGAAGGATGGCTTGTTTGGTAAAGTAGACGGGCAGCGAAAAAGAGAAAGGCATTTGACAAGATGGATGGACACAGTGGTTGCATTGATGGGCTCAAACATAGGAGCAGTTGGGAGGGTGGCACAGGACCAGGACCTGTTGGGCTTTGTTGTACACGGGGTCCCTATGAGTCAGAATTGATCTAACAGCGCCTAAGAGCAACAACATGGGGAAAATATTTAATGATTCAGGAAGCATCAAAAAAAGATGGAAGGAATACCCAGAGTCACTCTTTCTCAAAAAAGCTAGTGTGTATTCAATCATTTCAAGAGATAACATATGATCAAGACTCAATGGTGCTAAGGGAAGAAGAATACCATGCTGCACTGAAGGCGCTGATGAAAAACAAGGTTCCGGTGACTGACAAGATACTAACAAGCATTTCAATAAGCTGAGAAGCACTGCAAGCACTCAGTCAGCTATGCTAAGGAATTAGGAAGACAGTTAATTTACCAACTGAATGGTGGAGAGCTATATTTTTACCCATTCCAATAAAAAGATAGCCCAACAGAATGTGTAAATTATCAAACCACATCATTAATATTAAATGCAAGTAAATATTGGCTGCAGATTCTTCAACAATAGTTCTAGCGGTACAGTGACAGGAGCTTCCAGAAACTAAAGGCAGATTCAGAAAAGGACATGGAACAAGGAATATCATAGCTGATGTTAGATGAATCTGCGCTGAAAGCAGAAAATACCAGAAGAAGATTTACTTGTGTTTAATTGATTATGTAAAGGCATCAAATTGTGTGGATCATAGCAGACTATGGATAGCATTTAGAAGAATGGGCGTTGAAGGACATTTTGTTGTGGTCATGCAGAACCTCTACATAGATCAAGAGGCAGTCATTTGAATAGAACAAGGAAGACTGCATGGTTTAAAATAGGGAAGGTGTCCATCGGTGGTATACTCTCACCATACTTGCTCAGTTGGTACACTGAGCAGATAATCCAAGACGCTGGACTATATGAAGAAGTATGGAGCAGCAAGATATGAGGAAGGCTGACTAACAGCCGATGATATGCAGATATGTACAAACAAAACCTTTCTTTCTGGCAGTGAGAAGCCTTCCTGATATGGATCAGAAATTTCAGCCTTTAATATAGATTCAAATTTAATGTAAACAAAACAAAATTCTCACAACTGGTCCAATAAACAACATAATAATAAATGTAGAAAAGGTTGACGTTGTCAAGGGTTTCGTCTTGCTTGGATCCATAGTCGGTGCTCAACACAGTAGCAGGCAGGAGAGCCTCTGACACATTGCATGGGGTAAATCTGCTGCACAAGGTTGCTTTAAAGTGTGGAAGAGCAAGGGTGTCACTTTAAGCCATGGTGTTTTCAATCTACTCATATGCACATGAAAACTGGACATTGAATAAGGAAGACCAAATAAAAGGAATCAATGCGTTTGAATTATGGTGTTGGCTAAGAATATTGAAAGTACCATGGATTGCTAGAAGAAAATAAACTTGTCTTTGAAGAAGTACAACCAGAATGCTCCTTGAAGTGAAGATGGTGAGACTTCATCTCACGTTCTTGCAACATGTGATCAGAAGAGACCAGTCCCTGGAAAAGGGCATCATGCTCGGTAAAATAGAAGGGCACTGAAAAAAGAGAAAGGCACAGTGGCAGCAACAGTGGGCCCAAACATAACAAATTTGAAGATGACCCACATCAGGCATTGTTTTGTTCCTTTGTAGGTAGCGTTGATGTGAGTTAGAACTGACTTGAAGGCTCCTAGCAACAGCAATGAAATTAAGACAAATATAATACTAGAGAACTGGTCGGTAGCCATCCACTGATCAAAGGGATGCATCTAATTGTGTTTAGTTTGAGATAAACTCATGTATGTATGAACTAGACCTTTAGTAGCAATACCTTTTTACTTATCCTAGAATAGAATATAATCCTCTAATTATAATCATAACAATGAAGTTTTTTTAAACATGGAGACACTGAAACATAGCTTAAGAAAATTGACACCCATTACACTATTAGGAAAACACTAGACTTCAGACTCAAAATTTCTAACAACAAATCAATGTCTTTTCTACGTCATGACTCTCTAAAGCTATGCTTAAATGCTATTTCTATTGGTGGAATGAGATAGCTGAACGATATGCTCAGAAAGATTCTTTCCGGCTCTAAACATGAACTTCTTGAGGGGTAAATGAACAGATTGAGAATGGTCACTGGGCATTGATGAAGAGATAGACTGAGAAATGTATAAAGTGCTTTTGCAAGTGTAGGTTTGTGTCTTTGTTTTCTAGTGTTGATCTAACAGAGAGATAAGCTGTGGGTGGCGGTCACAAATCAGTTTTTTTCTGCAGTTTAGGTGGATAGAAGTCCACCTTCAAACTGTTAGTTCTGAGGAAAGGCTTTCTTTTTTGGCCAGCCCTGGAATAAAACCTTGCCTCTTCCGTCTTGTTTCCTGGCTCGTTGGAGTTTTCCACATGGCTTGGCTTCTGTCTTTCCCCTCGCTTGCTAGATTGCTTGTTTAACTCTTATATCTCAAAAGATGTGAAATCAAGACACACCCTGTACTAATCCTAACTAATTAACATAGCAAAGATAACTCATCACCAAATGTGATTACAACACTTCCCAGTCCTGTGCCATCCTCACAATTGTTGTTTGACCCATTGATGCAGCCACTGTGTTAATCCATCATGTCAAGATCTTCCTCTTTTTCCACTGTCCCTCTAGTTTACCAAGCCTGCTGTCTTTCCTAGCGTCTGGTCTCTCCTGATAACATGTCAAAAGTACATGAGATAAAGTCACACCATCTTCACTTGTAGGAGCATTCTGGTTGTACTTCTGCTAAGACAGATGTATTTTCTTCTTGGTCTCCATGGTACTTGCAGTATTCTTAGCCAGCATCATAATTTAAATGCATCGTTTCTTCTTCTTTGGTCTTCCTTATACAATGTCTAACTTTCACATGCATATGAGGCTATTGAAATACTATGACTTGGGTCAGCAGCACCTTAGTCCTCAAAGTAACATCCTTTCTTTTCAACACTCTAAAGAGGTCTTGTTCAGTAGATGTGGCAATTACATAATCTCCTGTCAACTTGTGAAGAGGTGGAGTCTAGCCTCTAATCAGGCCATAGCCAATAAGGCCTCCCTGTGGGCATGGCTTTCTTCTGAGGTTTCTGGGAACTCCTGTATTCCTCCCTGGAGGCAGGAGACTCTCTCTGCTTTGTCATCTTACAAGCCACATGGAGCCACACTAATTCAGCCAGAACCCTGGAACTGGAGGAGCCACGCGTAGACCCACGACAGCACTGAGGTGCTTTCACCACCACTGGATCCACAAGACTTTCCACCCACTAGCCTGTGATCTTCCTGCATTCAGCATCGTTGCATGGCTGCATGAGTTTAAAGAGGAATTTATGGACTAATATTGACTTATGGGGTACTATCGGACTTGTGGACCTAGTCTGAACCTAGCTGGGATGTTTTGTTAATGTACAATTGCTCTTTGATATAAAGTTCTCTCTTACACATATGAATGTCTCTGGATTTGTTTCTCTAGTCTACCCGGACTAATGTGGTAGATTTATGAAATGCAGTGCATCTCCTGATCTCTTGACAACTTCAATCTTATCTCCATTTCCCATGTTGTTACCTATTGGTCCAGTTGTGAAGATTAGGCATAGGGTTTGCATAACATATTTTATGGGGACACATTTCTACCCATAACATTGTATGTGTGTGCAGTTTTATGTTTCTCTTTCACATGTCTAGAAACAGCTTTATTTCCTCACTTCTTCAATATTTCTAAGTCTGTCTGAGCCAGCACCCCTTCGTGCAAGTCTCATTTATCTCTTTATGTTTGTAGCTCTCACATTGTCTGCCCATCACTGAATCTCAAATCTTCACCTGTGAAAGATGGCGGATGAAGGAATATGGTTAATGGCCCCAGCCAGGCCTGACTGGAGTCAGTCTATTCCCTCCTCCAGTTGCTCAGTCCATGACAAGTTATACAATGCCTTTGACCTGAGTTTCTTCTAGAAATCATTCCTTTATAGTTGAGAATAATCAATGTAATGAATGTCAAATTCTGCAACACAGTAGACTCCCGTGAAGAGCAGCTGTATTAATGAGTGTCATAACTCTCTTTCAGAAGAGGGGTTGGAGAAGAATAATTGGCTTTGTCAAGAGCTTTTGCAAATACCGAAGACTCATGTTGGATAACATTTCACGCCAAGAATTCCAAGAGTATCTCAACATGGAACTGTACAGCAAAGAAAGTAAGTCACTTCACAATTTAAAAAAAAAACAACAAACTTAGTAATTCGTTTATTTTAAACAATTTCACCAACATACAATTCACAGACCATATATTTCAATAGTTCCATCACATGAATAAGAGTTGTGAAACCATCACTACTGTCAATTCCAGGACATTTCTTCTTCCTTATACACGTTGTTGATAGCTCCCTATTTCCTGCCAGCTCCCCTGTCTGGTACCTTTGAATCTGTTGATCCAGTTGCTGTCTTTTTGGGCTTACATACTCTGAGTTTCTTATACAGAAAGTCATACAAAATCAAGACAGGAATGCAAAAATAAAAATGACTCAACAATGACACAATGAAACAAAGAAAAACCTCAATCAGTAACAAAGAAGAAAATACCAAAAACGGGAGCAATTATGCATTGGTTCAAGAGAGAGCTCACGGACAATTTTTCACATTTTGACCTAACTTGAATGGCAATAGTCCATCTTGCCACTTTACCCCATCTGGTAGTAAGGCCATTTCTACAATCAAGTCGCTGGTGACTTCGTCCCCATAGGAGACCCTGCAAATGGATGTGTGGCTTTCACCGCCACTGGAGCCTTCTGCAAACTGGGTGTTGCAATTTCAGCTTGAATACCGTTTCCTCCTCTGAGTTTGGATTTTATTATTTACAGTTCTTGGATGACACATGGGAAGTTGCTTTACTATTTCCCTCACTTAACCATCTACATTTCATTGACAAGAGTTAGCCTGAGTAAGAATTTGGAGAGCATATTGCTTGGTTTCATGGTTGTATAACCTTGAGATTAGTAAGAATCCCAGATCCTGGGGTCAAAGCCAAACACAGGCCTACTGAGAGATGCTGAAACTTTCTGTTCAAGGACCCAGCCAGGTGGAAAGATTGCTTACCTAAGTACAAAATACTCTTAGAGCTTCAGTTTTACCAATTTTCTCCTTATGTTTAATTTGGTCTTTAAATTTTAAAATGATTTTATTCTTAAAATTTTAATTAAAAAATAAAAATTGTTGTTGGGTCTATTTCAACTCCTGCAACCCAAGTGTGCCAGACTAGAATTATCCTGCAAGAGTTTTCAACGGCTGATTTCTAAGAGAGCAGTAGGGTTTTCTTTTGAGACACCACTGGATAGACTCATACCTTCAACCTTTCAGTTCAGCCACGCACTTCATAAGGAGTCCCTGGGTCATGTCAACAGTTTATGCACTAGACTGCTAACTGAAGGGTTGGGAGTTCTAGTTCACCCAGATATTTCTCAAAACCAAGGCTTGGCAATCTGCTTCTGAAAAAACAGCCAATGAGAACCCTGTGTAATGATCGAGCCACACCTTTTCTGGCTACATTTCCTAAAGAAGTAAGAGCCATAACACAGACAGACATATGCACACCCATGTTCATTGCAGTACCGTTTAGCAAGAAACAGCCCAAATGCCCATCAGTATAAGAATGGATAAAGAAACTCTGGTACATGCATAGAATGCTGAAAAAACAATAATGAAACCACTAAGCACCTCATAACATGGAAGGACCTGGAGAACATTATGCTGAATGAAGTTGTCAATCACAGAAGGACAGATGTTGTACGAGACCACTATTATAGGGATTAAAAAAAGACAAGACAAAAACAGCATTCAAGGTGAATAGACTTTGGAATTTCCCAAAGCAGGGAGGGGAAAGGTGAGGGATGAAGCAGTGGACTAGAAGAAGGTTAGCAGGTATAAAGGCTGACTTGGGTAAGAAGGAGGATGGAAGTCCTTAGAGGGAAAAGAGAAATTTGGGGTGGGGGTAAGATGCAAGGGTCAGATGATGAATGGCTTGAACTATTGGAATGAAAGTTAATGCTCTGAAATGTAAACCTCCCCCCAACTATTTCACAGTAAAAATCCATTAAAATGAAATTGTAAAATCCTACAGAGCACAGTTCTACTCTGATACATACTGGTGGCCATGATTTGGAATCGACTCCCAGGCAACTGGTTTGGTTAGAAAAAAGTCACTTTTTGTCAATCCTCAAAATATTTGCTGCCACTCTACAAAAATTGTCAATGACTTAAGGGTCCTCAGGATTCTGACCTTATTGTTTGCTTTAACTTTTTATTGTGAACAGCGTGAAGATACATCAGTTTCCTTTCAATAACGCACACACATTTTGTCTCATATAATTGATTGCAATCCCCACAACGTAGCATCACATCCCATTTCTTCCCTATTCTTTCCTGTTTCCATTCCTCCTTCTTTCCAAATCCCCTGGGACTTTTTCCATAGGTAAATTATACCTTTTGATCTCAAAGATCGATTATTCTAAGGTGTGCCTACCACACTAGTGTTATTTTTCCTTTTATAGGCTTATCTATTGTTGTTCTTATGTATGTTAAGTATTTATTTTTTAATTAATCATTTTATTGGGATCTCTTACAGATATTATAACAATTCATTATTCATTTAGATCAAGCATAATTGTATAATCACTGCCACCATCAGTTTCAAAACATTTTCTTTCTTCTTGAACTCTTTGATATCAGATCCCATTTATCCCCTCCCTCCCCCACCTTACCCCACAAGAACTCTTATTATTCTATACTATTATTGTTGTTGTTGTTGTTGCCATATCTTACACCATCTAATGTATCTGTTCACCTACAATTCTGTTTTTCATTCCCCTTGAGTGGGGTTATACCGTCATCACTGCTATCAACTCCCTTCCTCCCCTCTTCCCGTACCCTCCAGTAATTACCATCACTGTTTCCGAAGTGCCATCCATCCTGGCTTTCATGCATTGAATGATCCCAATTATACAAATGAACATAAACAGATCCAACAAGATAAATGGGTAAAACTGAAACCACAATAGTGAGGGGAAATACTAAAGAATCAGAGATAGTTATGTGTTTCATCAGTGCTATTCTGCACCCTGGATATATCATCCATTCTGTGTGGGACTGTTCAATTATCTTACAGATGGGTTAGGGGTCTTCACTTTGTCCAAGCTCCTTCACATCAATTTGATTGCTTGTTTTTGAACTCCTGATACCTATTCCTATCGACACCTCATGATCACACAGGCTGGTGTGCTTCTTCCATGTGGGCTTTGTTGCTTCCCTGCTAGATGGTCACTTGTTTGACTCCAAGCCGTTAAGACCTCAGGAACTGTATCTTTTGAAAGCTGGGCACCACCAGCTTTCTTTGCCACATTTGCTTGTGTACCCATTTTGTCTTCAGCAATCCCGTCTGGAGCATCAGTATCATACAGTGCCACATTATTAGAACAAGCCATTCTTATACTAAGGTAAGATTTAAGTAGAGGCCCAAAGTCCATATGCTTCCTTTTTCTATTTACATATATACATATACAAATACACCTATCTTTATATATTTACACATATGCATATCTGTATTTATACACATATATGTATAATTTTTGCTTTCTTCTTTCCTCTTTTTTTTTTCTTTCCTCCTGACCCACTATCATGTTTACCCATCATTCACCTCTCAGTAATTCCTCTTGGATACCTTTCAATTGATCAAACACAACCAGGAACACTACACCTTCCTCACCATCAATTTTAGATCCCTTGCTATCCCCCTGTCCCTGTTGTGTTATTGGCTCACCACTCCCCTCCCCACCACCCGCCACCCCCAACTGTCAGTACCTTTGCTGTCTCTTGGGATTGCTTATCCTGCCTATCTTATATAGAAAGACACTCTCCTCTTCTCTCTCCCCCCCAAAAAGACCATACAAATAGTTCTAATCTAACTGTTATCCTGACCCAGAGTAGATGAGTATCTCTGTTAAATAGCAAGCCATCCCTGTTAAAATCCATCAGTCCAATCCCCTTTTCTTTCAGGGATCCATCTCCCAGGACGCACTTACTTAACAGCCCTCAGCATTCGTGACTGAGGGGGTGCGCCCCCTACAGTACCCCATTGCTCTTTCTGCAGTCGGGGATGGAGCAGTCTAGGCCCCCCACCATCCTGTTACACCTTTAGACTTCCATCGTAGTCCAATCAGGCATATCCCCAAACCAGTTCAAATGAAGTGCCAACCCCTGCCCCCCGAGTCAGAAGTCCACAATCAGAATGCCTCGGGGACTTTATGGCTTTGCTCCCATTGCTAGTCTGCTGTGCTCCCCTCTCCGTTTGCTGCTATGCGGGCAGGTCAGACCAGCGCTCTCCCTGAACTGTATCTTCAGTGCTGTCCTCTGTAGCGCTCTCATCTAGGGAAGGACGTCATGCCTTGAACTGAGGCCAGTCCTACAGTCCTCTCTGTGAACAGAGCTGCTCTGAGAGGAAAGTCACGCTCAAGCCTTGGTGCCCAGGAATGAGGAGGCAGAAACAATACCCTCTCCTTGGATGGATTAGGGCCCTGGCTCCCCATTGCCCCCTTTTTTCTTCCTCCATCCCTGTGTGAGTCATAAAGGCATGTGGGGGGGGGATGTCTTTCAGCACAGGTGCTATCTGCATCTTTTTTATTTTTTGATGATGTATGCATCATTGAGTTTGGTCTGGCTCTTGCCAGAGTATCTTGTCCTCATTCTGGGAACTGTGCAGTATATACATTTTCCCCTATTAGGCCTATATATTGTTTCACTGAGAATTGAGTTCATTTCTAGATCTGAAAGGTTACTAAGGGTCCTAGTCTTGGGAGCTCTACTGGTCTATTACCAGTAAGCCTGATATTTTTAATGATTTTGAGTTTCAAATTTTTCTCCCATTCCATGCAAGAACTTCTAATGCCATCGCTTTAGGAGTAGTAATTAGTGGTAGTCAGACACCATCTAATTCTGGTATCAGGGTTGTGGAGATTAATGTTCGCGTGGTCCATTAGTCCACTGGACTAAGTGTTTCCATATTTCTCCTTCTCTTTCTTTTTTTTTTTAACATTTTATTAGGGGCTCATACAACTGTTATCGCAATCCATACACACATCAATTGTGTAAAGCGCATTTGTACATCATTCTCAAAACATTTTCTCTCCATTTAAACCCCCTGACATTAGGTCCTCATTTTTCCCTTCCCTCCCCACTCCCCTCTCCCTCATGAGCCCTTGATAGTTTATAAATGGGTATTTTGTCATATCTTGCCCTGTCCGACGTCTCCCTTCACCCACTTTTCGGTTGTCTGTCCCCCAGGGAGGAGGTCACACACAGTTCCTTGTAATCGGTTCCCTCTTTCCTACCCATTCTCCCTTTACCCTCCCTTTTTCGCCACTCACACCACTGGTCCTGTAGGGCTCATCCGCCCTGGATTCCCTGTATTTTCAGTTTCTATCTGTACCAGGGTACATCCTCTGGTCTAGCCAGACTTGCAAGGTCGAATTCGAGTCATGGTAGTGGGAGCAAGGAGGAAACATTTAGGAACTAGAGGAAAGTTGTATTTCTCATCATTGTTACATCGCACCCTGACTGGCTCATCTCCTCCCCGAGACCCCTCTGCAAGGGGATCTCCAGTGGCCTACTCATGGGATTTGGATCTCCACTCCGCACTCCCCCCATCATTCACAAATTAAAACACAACAAGAAAGAAAAGCTTGTAGTCAGTTCAAGGATGGTTGGGCTTTAGGAGTGTTTTCCAGTCCAGTCCGTTGGGGCACCACGCCATGGCCCCAAAGTCCACCTTCATCATTCCCTGGGGACCTTGTTGCTCCATTCCCTTGCTGTTCCGCTGCACTCCCCCAATGCTTTACCTCAGTGTGGCGGAATCAGATCGAGTGCAATTCCCACAGGCAGAGAATTACTTAATATGGCACTACTAACTACAGTCCTTGTATCTCTAATGACTGGGTTGGACTATGCAAATGTGAGGTGCTTATGCAAATAAGTATATGGAACCCTAATGTAAAGATTCATCAGTTTTGCCATCCCATGGGACTTCAAATGAGATACTGCATAGGTAAAAAGGGAGGAATCTCATGACAACTATGTTAGTCTGGGTAAACTAGGGAAACAAATCCACAGAAGCTCATATTTAGAAGAGAGAGTTTTATATAAAGGGTAAGTGTACATTAAGAAAGCATCCCAATCCAGTGCTGTCCAAGCCCATAAGTCCAACATTAGCCCATATGTCCAATACCAATCTACAAAATCCTCCTCAATCTCACAAAACACACGCAATAACACTGACTGCAGGAGGAAAGCCGGGTCATTGAGCATGTCAGTACATTAGTGCTGGCAGGGGTCTGCACCTGGCTGCTCCAGCACCCAGGGCTCCAGGGTAGGTCCATGTGGTTTCTCTTCAATGATGTCTCACAGGAAGTGAGCCTTGCAAGCTAAAGCATGGAACTGGCTAAGGCAGTTGACCCTGATCCAACCACCAGAGACCAAGATACCTGAGAACTATAAAGGTGAGGCTCACTGAGTCATTTATTTCTCTGCCCTTCAATTGATCCCACATGTGTTTGTCAGCCAGGTTGGCACAATAAACCTCAGCTATTTCAATAACCAAGACAGAAGATCCAGGAGTTCAGTGCATCTTTTGGACCCAGGATCCCTGCACTAAGAGCCTCTTCAATCCAGAAGACAGATAGTGACACGCCAGAGATGATGAGGGATGATGTGAAGCAGCAGCAGAGAAATAATAGCAGCAGTGGCCATAGAGCCAAGGAACCAGCAGATGACAGAGCGTTGGACTTCCTGACCCACAGATTGAAAAAACTGAGTATCTCTGCACAGAAATTGCTGGAGGAGTGGGATGCTTCTGGGTCTGTATTGACAAGTGTGAAAAGAGCTCTTTAACATTTGTTAGGAAGAGCAGAGGCTGAGGGGCTTTGGGGGCAAAAATCTCAGGGTCAGAGAGAGGCATGCTTGTGGGCACTGCTAGAAGAGACTGTCCTGATTGAAGACCTGGATCCTGAGTTGTTTCTGATCCCGAATTGCAACCTATTACTTTCCTAACCTCCCTATTCGTGAGTGTGGTCTGTGACGTCTGCGTGGCCATTGTAATGACTTATCAAACGCAGCAGAGAAGGAGAGTGCTGTGGAAGGAATGGTTGCTGTCAGACGTACTATGAAGCTGGGAGGATGACTGCATGTCAGAACACTACTTCAAAGGAATCAATCTTGGACTGTTGATGGTGATGGCGATTCCTTCTCTCTTTTTTGAAGGTCAAGGAGGTCAGATGATTTTTATAATCTTTCATGTCCAGCCCCAAACCATTCTCTTCTGAGCTCTGAATCCCTGTGGATGGATTTTTTGTACATACTCAAGTCCAGAAACTTCCTAAAGTAAACACCTTATTCCTGACACATGACCCAAACCTAGGACCTTATGTGCTCTCCTTTTCTTACTTATATTTCTTTTCTTATTTCTTCCTTCCATTTGTTTCTTTAAAAAACTTCTTTACTCTCCCTGTTTCAGCTTTGTGTTGTTTTCCTCCATTGTTCCTACATTCCCAACCCCCAAACCAAACTCACTGCCATTGATGCCGACTCTTAGCAAGTCTATAAGACAGAGTAGAATTGCCCTGGTGAGTTTCCAGGAATGTAACTGTTTAAAGGTACAGAAAGACCCATCTTTCTCCCTTACAGCTGGCCAGTAGTTTCAAATTGTGAACTTTGTGGATCTCAGCCCAATACCACTATGCCACCAAGGCTCCTGAATTACTTCTCCAATACACGTTAAATAAATATCTTCAGAACCACACACTCCACTTTGAAGATCGTTTCTGCATGTTCTACTTTTACAGTCTCTACAGAAATGCTAAGGATGTCCATTACTATAATGTGGTTATTTCTATTAGACAAGCGCCAGATGAACATCTTTCAGTGTTAGTGATTTTTAAAAAGTATTGTCCCAGCATCTGGACAGAGATTTTCAACTGTCTTTTCCCAGTCCATCAAGTCTGAGTAAGAAGTTGAGCACAGTGGTAGGGTATGGCTGCTTCAAACGACTCCAAAGGAAAGGCCACAATTTTGTTTCATTCTATGCATCTCGGTTATGCCCAAGTTGAAGGCTTAGAGCTTATGCATGGGTTGATAGACCCGTTTAATTTTTTTTCTCTTCACCTCTCAGATGTCTCATCAGGAAATGCACCAAGTCATCCCGGCATGAGTCCCTCGAATGTCCGGAGCTCAGACTTTGAGAATGGGGAAACACCAATTTTGAAGCGCCGTATGTTTGGCCATAAGACTATCATCATCAACTTTTTGATCAATGATATAGATTTCTTTTCTGAAATAGAACGGTAAGTTCAGACCTGCCAAGTGGGCACCTCCTTCTGAAACCCCATGAATGATGTTGGTGTGTCAAATGCTCCCATTCTTTGTTTTAGTTCTTAATGACTTGTCAGTGTTCACGAGTTCCTGATAGTGAAACATAAGGCTCGTCCCAGAAAGTAGAGACCTTTTCCCTTTATTTGTACATATGATACAAGTTCTTGCAGATGACACCCCTGGATCAGTAGTTCTTCAGTCACAGCAATTAATTACAATAATAAACTGGTGTGTGTGTGTTCAGGTATATACACATATTCATATATAGAGAGATGAAACAGATTTTAAATAAAATATATTAATATTCATTCATTCATATGCCCAATTTTAATGTAAAGTCAAAGCCATTCCACTAATTGGAGATCCATATGTTCTTTCTTGTATAAACTATACGTAAAATGTTATCTAAATATCCAAACCTATTGCCACCAGAGCAGAATTCTCCAGTGTCTCTAAGGCTGTCTGTCTTTAGGAGAGCAGACAACACCGGGCTTCTTTCTTTCTTTTTTTAATTGGGGGCTCATACAACTCTTGTCACAATCCATACATACATCCATTGTCAAGCACATTTGTACATTTGTTGCTATCATCATTCTCAAAACACTTGCTTTCTCCTTGAGCCTTTGGTATCAGCTCCTCATTTCCCCCCCTTCGTCCCCGCTCCCCCCCTCCCTCATGAACCCTTGATAATTTATAAATTATTATTATTTTGTCATATCTTACACTGTCCAACGACTCCCTTCACCCACTTTTCTGTTGTCCATCCCCCATGGAGGTGATTATATGTAGATCCTTATAATGGATTCCCCCTTTCTACCCCACCTTCCCTCTACCCTCCTGGTATCGCCACTCTCACCACTGGTCCTGAAATCCCTGTGTTTCTAGTTCCTATCTGTACCAGTGTACATCCTCTGGTCTAGCCGGATTTGTAAGGTAGAATTGGGATCATGATATGAGGTGGGGGGAAGGAAGCATTTAGGAACTAGAGGAAAGTTGTATGTTTCATCGTTGCTACACTGCACCCTAACTGGCTCATCTCTTGGATCCCTAATCTGTACTCCCCCTCATTCACAATGATTTGATTTTTTGCTCCTTGATGCCTGATACCTGATCCCTTCGACACCTTGCGATCACACAGGCTGGTGTGCTTCTTCCATGTGAGCTTTGTTGCTTCCGAGCTAGATGACTGCTTGTTTACCACTGGCCTTCAAGTAGAACAAGGTGCCTGGATGGCACAATTGGCTTGTGATTGACTACTAACATGAACATTGGTAATTTGAACCTGTCAGAGTAAACCAGCCTCTAAGAACCACAGGGTCTGTAGGCGCAATTGTATGATTATAATATATAAAGATTATAATAAATTCTTAGATAATAGGAGAGATAATAAAGGAGTCAGACATATTTCATGGTAGCATGCTCACCTCTGGGATGGCAATGATCTTAGCAGCTAGGTCTGTGCAGATAGAGAATATATTTCTAACCAAGGCTTATAAATACTTTGGGGGCGTGCAAACCCCACTGATTTCAGGTAACCACATATGTAACAGGAAGGGATTGTCCAATAGGCATATGTGTGACAGGAAGGGGATGAGCTAGGGGTACACATGTGACAAGATGGGCAGATCCTAGATTCAAGATGGCAGCCCAACTTTGGTGGTCCTTGAGTGGGCTTGACCTTGTCTCTGGGCTCTCCTTCAGGGAAACAATCCACTATCCTTATCAGCAGGGAGTGGGTTCCACCTACGGTGCGACAGACAATAGTGTTTGATTGCTCTAGATGCCCTCTGGGAGAATATTTCTAAGCAGCTGACAACCCACCGTGCATTAGCAAGCAGCAGACAACCTGGGGAAAAACCCTTTTGCATCCCTCGAGTGTCCACTCTGTAGCACAGTGTAAGAAAGACTTGGAGAACTGCAGCTGTAAAATTGTAATCCAGACCACTCTATGGAACACAGTTCTGCTTGGTAACAGATGGGTTCACAGGAGTTGGAACCAACTCAACTCCAGGGTTTTCTTTCGGAATTTTATTTTTGTTTTGTGAATTTAAATGTTAGTTTAAAGTGAAGCAAGACTTTAAAGACTGCAACAAAGTGATTTCTAAATTATTGTAAAGCAATGTTATTCCTGGGCAATTTTATACTTTTTTCTGTTTTTAAAAAAAATCATTTTATTGGGGGCTTGTAAAACTCTTATCACAATCCATACATACATCATCCATTGTCTCAAGTACATTTATACATATGTTGCCATCATCGTTTTCAAAGTATTTTCTTTCTACTTGAGCCCTTGGTACCAGCTCTTCCATTTTTCCCCCCTCCCTCCCTCCCTCCCTCATGAACCCTTGATAATTTACAAAAATTGCCCCGCCCACCCTAACTCAACACCAGTTTGTTTTCTTTGGTATTTTGAACAGCATGCTTTTACGAACTGTTCCAAAGCATTCAAATTTATGTTCAGAGAGGCCATTTTAATTTTCATATTTATATTTCATAAATTTATGTAAACCATGAGTTATAAGTAAAATTGAAATTAACTTGGAGTCTTTAGTGACAAACAAGTTCATCTACAAAAGAAAAAGAATTATAGTAGCAAGTATAACAGAAAAAAATATCTGGAAAGTAATCTGACTCTTGGTAAGCATCTATGTCAACCAGTTGGAGTGGAATTTGAGGGTGAAATAGAGACAGCCTACTGGTGTGTGGTCAACGGATCCTGGGTGTCATTGGTATGTTTTTTTTAGAAAACACGTGCAGCACCAAGTAACCCAGTGCACCAGTCAGGAGACTTTAAGAGATCTTCCACTGCATCTGACTGAAGGCTTTAGCTCAGTTCCACAAATTAAAGTCTATCGATTGTTTATATTGATTATTCAGTTTGGCATTAGAGGGGCAGAAAACAACTGTAACATTTTTCCTGCCTTCCATAGTTCCAAAGATTCACTGGGGTGGTAAATGGGATACAGGTGGAAGTTAGGAAGTGGCATGGTAAGTGGTGTGTCATAGGGAAAGCATGGAGGTAACAGATTTTCCACCCTGAATTCTGAAGAATGGCCCTGGGGAAATGAAAGGGGAGCAGAGAGGCTGTTCATCAGGCTGAGAAGCTCCCACTGCAAGGGCTCCACTTCTCACCACCGACATCTCTGCTTCCCTGCTTGCTCTCTGCAAACTGTTTTCTGTGCATCAGTCAGAGTGTTCTTTTCTAAATGTCAAGGTTATTCAGGTGCTCTCCTGACTAAAATGTTCAGGTAACGTCCCATGACCACTGGGATAAAGTCCAAATCCCCTCCTGTTCACTAAAGCGCTCTTTGGGAACAGGACCTGTCTGCATCTCAGAGCTCACCTCAGGCTCCGGGACCACTGATTCCCAAGATCTAGTTTTTGGAGGCCTGCTCCGCTGCTCCCACAGGCCAAATGAGGGCGTCTGTGCTTGCTTTCCCCTCCACAGGAAGAAGCCCCCACCCTCAGATCTTCAAACAGTCGGCTCTTTCTTTCCTCATTATTCAAGTCTTAGTGTACACCCCTGTGGTAGTCACCTAATCTGGTGTCAATTTAAGGATTAAAAGTGTAGGGGTGGAGTCTAGACTATCAATCAAGATAGCCAATGAGACTTCTCTGGGCATGGCCTTCGCCTGAGAATTCTGGGAAATCTGGGTCTTCCTCCTTGGAGGCGAGAGACACTTCTCTCTCTCTGCTACTCCCTGGGAGACATTGCAGAAGACAAGCCACATGGACGCAACCAGACCTCAGAAGCCAGGGAAGGCACAGAGAGACCCCTGCCAGCGCTGAGGATCTTACAACGCAACTGGATCTAAAGACTTTCTACCCATTGGCTTGTGATCGTCCTGCATTTGGCTTCATTGCATGTGTTTAGTGAGTCTAAAGAGGACTTTATAGGTTGATATTGGAAATATGGGCTAATATCGGACTTATGGACTTGATCTGGACTGGGCTGGGATGTTTTCTCAATGTTCAATTACTCTTGTACATAAATCTCTTTCTTATACACATGTGTGTGTCCATGGATTTTTTTCTCTAGTCTACTCAGACTAACACAACCCCTCTCCCAATCTCATCACCCACTTTTGTTGCCTTTATAGCATCTTTATTGGATATTTAATTACTCATTTATTTGCACATGTGTCTTCTCTCCCTCGTTGCTTGTAAACTCCCAGAGGGCAGGGCCTTGATTATTGCTGAAACCTCACTCCTCTAACAGTGAGCAGAGTAGGCCCTTAATCAGTATCCACAGATGGAATGAACAAATGGAGATTCAAAACATGCTGAGAATTGATGACAACATTTGGTATTCTACTACTAGGGAGATTTAAAATGCGCAGTATCGCTGAAGAGAGGCCTGCTGAGCCAAGGGCGGAGGAGCCAGCTCTGTGCTTTCCTACATTCACAGATACAGCTAGAACCAGGCAGAAATGGGCTGGACCACTGTTGTAAATTACAAGAACAGTAGCCAGAAATCACCAGCTGCTTGGCAGGAGGAAGATCGGACTTTCTACTCTCTTTAAAGAGTTAGTCTCCAATACCCACAGTTACAGCTCCGATGCCATGTCCTACAGGGTCACTGTGAGTCAGAATTGACTGCATGGCAGTGAGTTCAGTTTTCTTGGTTTGGAACGAAGAAAAAGACAGTTCAAATGGTAAGAAAGCTTTATGGCTTTTAAAGATTATCTGGGCCATGCACTGGCCTCTTCATCAGGTGGCTTGGAAGACCCTGATTCTGCTTCTGAAAGGAGATCAGAGCGTTTTCTCACAGTTTTCAGTCTCTCCTGTAGAACATTTTTGGCTCTGAGGAATAGCTGAACGATTGATACAAGACCTTGTCTCTGTTTTGCCTGTCTTAAAATTCTTCTCAGGGCAGAAGAATGGCAAGCATTGCTTGAAAAGATTGCAAGGTAGATAATTTTGTAGCCACCTCGGTACAAAGAGTACAATTGAGACAGACATACATTAGACTGCTTAAAAGAGAAAAGGTAAAGGTGAGAACTAGTTTGAAAACTAAGGGCATTCAAAAACCCTCATGTTTGTGAGTGGACGTGAGAAAGCCACAT